CTGTGCCCTTTTCTGACCTACTTTACATCTAAAATTCACCCCTTTCTCATTGCCCAGCTGATTCAATTAGTGAATACCAATTCATGTTCCAAGCCTGGCTCAGTTTTTAGTTTATAAAGACATAATTAATTTCCTCTTCCTTTCCCCCTTCCCCAGAGAGACTTGTCTTTTTCTTCTTTTGGGTTGTTCTCTCCCACTCTATGGATACTGACTTGTATTATAGAACTTTATTGTTCTTGTTTATATATTTTTGTTTTCTTCTACTTGGTTGAAAACTTCTGAGGGCAGTAATTTATCTTAGTTGTCTTTGTGTCTAATGTGTATAGAGTACCTTGTATATTTTTTTCTTTAATATATTTTATTGATTTCAGAGAGGAAGGAAGAGGGGGAAAGAGAAACATCAATGATGAGAGAGAATCATTGTTTGGCTGCCTCCTGCATGCCCCCTAGTGGGGATCAAGCTCGCATCCCAGGCATGTGCCCTGACTGGGAATCGAACCGTGACCTTCTGGTTCCTAGGTCGATGCTCAACTACTGAGCCACAGTGGTCGGGCGAGTACCTTGTATCTTAAGATGTGTGTGGAATGAATACAAAAAATTGTCAGAAGGCACTGTTGTCTATTTTAATAGATGTAATTATTAGTCTGTATGTGGACTTTGTAGAATTAGAAGATTTTCTAAACTATAAATAGTCTAGTAATCTTTTAGAATGTAGTGTGTTATATTCATTGGGAAATTGCCTTAGAAATTTTAAGAAAAGTAGATTCCAGTTAGGTCTTGGTTACAAACAACACAAAGTAATTTAGCTTATTTGAGCAGAAAGGAACTTACTGCAAGGGCATTGGATATCTTACAGAATGGACAGGAAAGGTGGAAAATTAGGTTTGGGAAATAGGCAGGAATCAAGGGAGACTGCTGCACACTCAGCCAAGGTCTGGCCACGGGAATAGAATAGTATACTGCTACTGGATTTGCACCACTGCCTCTGCTGAACCCACACCACCACTATTCCATAAATTACCTTTTAATGTCTTTTTAGATTCCAAATCTAGAACCTCTGACTTGGGGCTGAGCCTAGATTACATATCTGTAGCCTGAGGGCCACGGACCAGAACAGGAGAGAAAATATCTAGTCAGTTTTAGCTTTTGTAGTGGGGGATTTGTTTTCTACTATGATTGACACTGTGGGATGCTCCATAGATAGGAAATTGAGGTCAGATGGCTGGTAGGCAAAAAAGTAAAAAAAACAAACAAACAGTGAAATTAGCTCTGGTTGGGTGGCTAAGTTAGTTGAAGCCCCATTTCATAGATCAAAAAGTTGTGCTTCAGTTCCTGGTCAGGGCACATACTTAGGTTGTGGATTTGATCCTCGGTCGGGGAGTGTGTGGGAGGCATTTGATTGATGTTTCTCACATCGATGTTTCTCCCTTCCTCTCTAAAATCAATAAAAGCATATCCTAGGGCAGTGGTCGGCAAACCGAGACTCGCGAGCCACATGCGGCTCTTTGGCCCCTTGAGTGTGGCTCTTCCACAAAATACCACGTGCGGGCGCGCACGTACAGTGCGATTGAAACTTTGTGGCCCATGCACAGAAGTCGGTTTTCGGCCTGGGCAAGTCTATTTTGAAGAAGTGGCGTTAGAAGAAGTGGGGGGTGTCGAAGAAGTGGGGGGTGTTGGTCGGGTGACACGCAGGCGGGCTGTGGGATACGCAGCGCGGGGGAGGTACATTGTTTTGAGGTACTTTCGCTGAGGTCGACCCCTTTCAACGCTCCCATCCACACTCGTCTATCTGAAACAAGTATACAAGACGAGTGTGGATGGGAGAGTTGGAAGGGGTCGACCTCAGCGAACGTACCTCAATCAGATTGAGGACGTTTTTAGCAAAGGCCAGCTTAGGAGTACCCTAATTAAGTTAATAACAATGTACCTACTTATATAGTTGAAGTTTAAAAAATTTGGCTCTCAAAAGAAATTTTAGTCGTTGTACTGTTGATATTTGGCTCTGTTGACTAATGAGTTTGCCGACCACTGTCCTAGGGTGAGGATTAAAAACAAAAGGTGAAAATGCATTATAGCACTACTGCTAGTTAATATCTGATTCATAGATCTCAGAAAATTTATTTCACTTTTATGGGTCTCTCTTTTATTATTTGTAAATTTGAAACACTATCTTTTCATTATTAAATGGTAATAACAATGTAAAAGTGTAATCAAATATATTTTTTTCTTTCTCTGTCTAATTTTGTCATCAAATATTTTGAATATCCTGTAAGAACACAAGGGATGTTGCTTTTATTCCTGTGATGTAAGCTATAATACCTTCTCCCTTTCTTTGGCGTATGTATTAATAATTTTTAAATATACCTTTCTGAAGTTTATGGGAACTTAAAGTTGAGCAGGGCAGTTCAAGGCATATTGTTGATTTATTGGGTATTTTTATATAATTTTTGTAGCATTGCCCCCAGAAGATAGAAACAATAATTATTCTAGGACATTTCTCTTAGTTTGCTTTTAACAGATCTTAAATTTTGCCAACCTTGCCTGTCTCTTTTTCCTGTTGTTAGCTATATCTGAACCTCTTTTTCTTTTCTTTTTTTAAAAATATGTTTTTATTGATTTTTTTTAAGATAGAGGGAGAGAAACATTGATTGGCTGCCTCTTGCATGCCCCCTACTGGGGATCAAGCCCACACCTGGGCATGAGCCCTGACCTGGTATTAAACCAGCAACCTCTTGGTGTACTGGACAATGCTCAAACAACTGAGTCACACTGGCCAGGGCTACTGGATATTTCTTGAGATCTTAAAGAAGTCTGTAGTGTTGTTTTAAGTAGAAAACAGTTATTTGGAAACCTCTTGATGAGATATTATGGTTGGAAACAGCTAGTAAGGTACATAGTAGGGGTCAACAGGTATAGATTTTCAGTTATAAAAGAAATCATTCTTGAGGATATAATGTACATTATGGTGACTGTAGTTAATAATACTGTATTGCATATTTGAAAGTTGCTAAGAGCATAAATATTTTTTAATTAAAATTTTTTCAATTTCATTCAATATTTGTATTACTTTCAGCTGTACAGCATGTGAGAATAAATTTATTTATTTCAGGTTATAAGAGAAAGTGTATTTAGAAAGTCACAGAGGTAGAAGAAGTGAGCTGTAGAAGAAATGCACTCAGGAAACAAGTTACAGAAGCAAAAGAAGGGCCTCTGGAGCTTAGGAGAAAGAGAGAGAGAGAGAGATAAGTGCCTTGAGGGACAAAAGAGGGAAGAGGGGCGTGGGTGGGCTCCAGAAAAGAGAGAGAGAACATGCTGAGAATAAATCTTAAGAAGGTAGCCTGGCCAGTGTGGTTCAGTGATTGAGCATCGACCCATGAACCAGGAGGTCACAGTTTGATTCCGGGTTAGGGTACATGCCTGGGTTGCGGTCTCGATTCCCAGTGTGGAGTGTGCAGGAGGCAGCCAATTAATTATGTTTCTCTCTCATCGATGTTTCTATCTCTCTAAAGATGAATAAAAACATTAAAAAATATATTTTTATTGATTTCAGAGAGGAACGAAGAGGTAGAGAGAGAGAGAAACATCAATGATGAGAGAGAACCATTGATAGGCTGCTTCTTGCATGCTCCACACCGGTGATTGAGCCCACAACCTGGGCATGTTGAACCATGATCTCCTAGTTCATAGGTGGACGCTCAACCACTTAGCCAGCTGGGCAATATAAACATATTTTTTAAAAAAAGAAATAAATAAAAAGGTACATGGTAGGTAAAACTGCTACTAAGTCCAGGTGAAAAAGGGAGAGTTGTAGTTGTGTTGACTAGGGGACAAGTTAGGAAGCCTAATGAAGAGATTCAGAACGTAGGCGCTTAAATAACAGTCCAGAAGCTAGTGGTCAGGTTAGCAAGGTCACTCTGTTCTACATGGCCATTCTGGGACACAGGTTCCTTCTGTCTTGTTGCTTCACCATCCCCTAAAATGGTGTTCTTGTTTGCATGTTTGCCATATTCGCATTTCAAACCATAGAAAGGAGGGAAGAGGAATTCTTTGAGGAAAGACCCACAAATTGCAGATATAACTTCCACTCATATTCCTGTGGCTAAGACTGATCATATGGTACATTCAGTTGCAAAGGAGACTAGGAAATATAATTGGCAACTGTGTGGCCACAATTTAGGAGGCTTTATTAGTAAAGGAAATAAGAGAACATACTGGATGGAGGTGCAGTGGGGGCATGACTAGTGTTTTTGCCATATAGGTGAAAATAGAGAAACTAGGGAGAGAGGGAAGTGTGCTTTTGATATGAAATTTGAATAAATTACCACTTGTAAGTAAATATATTTTTAAAACATTACTCAGAAGAAAAGTCTTAGAAATACTTATTTTGGTATTTAGTTGACTAATTGAAGTCAAGAAGAAAATTTACTAGCATGTACAGAGTCCTGGGGTTACGTTGGACTCGAAGTACATCGTTTTGTGGTTATGTCGCCATCTCCCATTTACTTATAAAAAAAAAAGATCTGTCATTTTGACGTATGTACATATGTGCTTTATGGTTTTTATTATTTACCACAAGTAAAGGTCAGGAATTGTTATCTTTCTTTTAAATTTTTTTTTACTGTTTCGCTTCATTACTGCTGTGTATGTGCTCCATGTGAGTGACGAAGGTGCTTATGTAGGTGGATTCCGATTTACGGCAAAAACTGCTTTACGTTGTGCTGTAGGAATGGATCTCCGACATAACCTGAGCACCTACTGTAATAAACTTTATTTTTTAATATATATTTTTATCGATGAGAGAGAATCATTGATTGGCTGCCTCCAGCACCTCCCCCCCCTCCCCCCCCCGCCCCAGGGGTTGAGCCCACAATCTGGGCATGTGCCTTGACCCAGAATCAAACCATGACACCTGGGTCATAGGTCTATGCTCAACCACTGGCGACAACAGCTGGGCAGCATGTAATAAACTTTAAACTGAAAAAATGCTTTCATGTTTTTAGGTTTTACGCATCTGTTAATAGACCTTTTTGGAGCTCTGCCACCCAACTCAATGGCGTCTTCTACTTCTGTGCCTCTGGGATTTCACTATGAAACAAAGTATGTTGTTCTCAGCTACTTGAGACACCTCTCTCAGGAGAAGCTGCAAGAGCATCATCTTTCCTCACTACAAGGTATTACCTTTGGCTTATGGTGGTTATATTTAGTAGCAATAATAACATCATATATAAAAGCATATATACCTAAATAATTTATATTTATGGTTTTATGATCAAATAATACCAATAAGCTTTTAAAAAGCTTTATTGTTGAGAGTATTACAGATGTCCCTCCATTTTCCCCCCATTACCCTCCCTCCTGCCGGTTCCTACCCTGCTCTAAGCCTTCAACACCTTATTGTCTGCCTCCATGGGTAATGCATATAAGTTCTCCAGTTAATCTCTCCCCCTTCCTGCCTTTCCCTCTAAGATTCGTCAGTCTGGTGCATGTTTCCTTGCCTTTGGTTCTATTTTATTCATCAGTTTATTTTGTTCATTAGACGCCTTGTTCATTTATTTTAATTTTTAGATTAGTTGTTGATAGATATGCATTTATTGCCATTTTATTGTTCATATTTTTTATTTTTACTTCTTAAAGAATACCCATACATTTCATGTAATACTGGTTTGGTGGTGATGAACTCCTTTAGCATTTTCTTGTCTATGAAGCTCTTTATCTGTCCTTCAATTCTAAATGATAGCTTAGCTGGGTAGAGTGATCTTGGTTGCAAGTCCTTTTAATCACTGAATATTTCTTGCCACTCTCTTCTGGCCTGCAAAGTTTCTGTTGAGAAATCAGCTGACAGTCTTATGGGAGCTCCCTTGTAGATAACTGCTTTCCTCTTGTTGGTTTTAAGATTCTGTTTTTCTTTAACCTTTGGCATTTTAATTATGATGTGTCTTGGTGTGGGACTCTGGATTCATCTTGTTGGGGACTCTCTGTACTTCCTGGACTTGTATATCTATTTCCTTCACCAAGTTAGGGAAGTTTTCTGTCATTATTTTAAAAATTAAAAAAAATGTTTTTATTGATTTCAGAGAGGAAGGGAGAGGGAGAGATAGAAACATCAATGTTGAGAGAGAATCACCAATTGGCCTCCCCCTGTAAACCCCCCCCCCCTCCACACACACACACACACTGGAGATTGAGCCCGCAACCTGGGCACGTGCCTTAACAGGGAATCGAACCGTGACCTCCTGGTTCAGAAGTCCAGTGCTCAAGCACTGAGCTACACTGGCTGGGCTCTGTCATTTTTTCAAATAGGTTTTCAACTTCTTGATCTCTCTCTTCTCCTTCTGGCACCCCAATGATGCAATTGTTGATATGCTTCAAGTTGTCCCAGAGGCTCCTTGCACTTTCCTCATTCTTTTAGATTCATTTTTCTTTTTGCTGTTCTCATTGGGTGTTTTTTGCTTCCTTATATTCCAACTTGCTGATTTGATTCTCAGGTTCATCTACTCTACTGTTGATTCTCTATACAATATTCTTCACTGAAGTTAGTGTATCATTCATTTCTGACTGGTTCTTTTTTATGCTTTTGTAGTTTGCACTAAGTTCATTGAGCATCCTTATAATCAGTGTTTTGAACTCTGCTTTTAGTAGATTGCTTGTCTCCATTTTCTTTAGTTCCTTTTCTGGAGTTTTGCCCTGTTCTTTCATTTGCCCTGTTCTTTTCATTTTTAAATCCTCATTTTAGCAGCCTCCCTGTGTTTGTTTCTGTGTTTTAGGTAGAGTTGGTCCATTTCCTGGGCTTGGTTGAGTTGCCTTATGTAGTAGGTGTTTTGTAGAGTCCAGGGGCACAGCCTTCTTGATCACGAAGCTGAGCGCTCAAGGTGTGTGTGCTCCCCCCCCCCCCCCCCCCCACACACACACACTTGGATGGGCTGTGTACATCCTCTGTTGTAGTTCAGTTTGATTGCTGTTGGCATGTTAATAGGAAGGGATTTATTCCCAGGCCAGTCAGCTGGAAGGAGTGGCTGTGACCAACGAGGATCAGATGTGCAGGGGCCCACCCCACAGAGTAGGACTTACTTCAGCAGGTCTCTGATACCTGCTGAGTCTGCCCCTTGTCTGTTGTTTGTGGGGGTGGTGATGCTACAGGGTGATCTGATATAGTCTACCAGGTGTGCTGGCTCTGTGGCTTTCCAGGAGGTGCAGGCCAAGATCACCACTGCCAGTATTCTGCCCAAGGCCACTGGCATGAACTACAGATCAATGTTTAGATGACTGCTACTTGTGTTGGGCTTGGAGATGCCAAGAAGAGGCCAAGCTGTGAACCAAGGTAGCATGCTGCTAGTGCTGGACCTAGGACCACTTAGCAAGAGGTATGGGATATACTGAAGCCAGCTGTTGGAGAGATTTTAGGAATGTCTGAAGCCTGAGTTAGGACACGCTATTCATATAGAAAAGCCACTGCAAACAGCTTTGGTGGGGTCCCAGGGAATCACCAGGGCTGGGCAAACAGTGTGGGCCAGGTTGATGGAGATTCAGATATGGCATCTGCCAGTGGCCCTGTGGCTGGGAGGTCTCAGCAAAGGAACAATGACCTCTGCCAGCACTTTTCTCTGGGAGGCCCCCCAGCTCTTGTCCTAAAGCCATACACTTTATTTCCTCTGTATGTCCCTGGATCCTTTCAAGCTGCTGCCCAAGTGCTGGAGATCAGTGGGAGCGTATCTGAGTAAGTCCATGCATGGGGCCTTTAAGTGGAACTGCCTGGGGCTCTAGCAACCTCTGTGTCATCCAGCAATAATCCTCATTGGTTTTTACAGCCTGTAGTTATAGGGACTTCTCTTCCCAGCACTAGAACCCTAGACTGAGGGGTCTGCTGTGGGGCTGGGACCCCTTGCTCCTCACGGGGGAATTCTGCAGCCAAGATATCCCTCCCTGTTAAAAATCAGCATACTTTCAACCAGTGTCGCTTAGTGGTTGATCATCGATTTACGAACCTGGAGGTCATGGTTCAATTCCCTATCTAGGACATGCCTGGGTTTCGGACTCTGTCCTCAGTAGGGGGCATGAAGGAAGTTGATCAATAATTCTCTCTCATCATTGATTTTTTTTCTAATTTAAATTCTTTATTATTGAAAGTATTACATATGTTTCCTTTTCCCCCCATTAACCTCTCCCTGGCTGCTCCCACCCTCCAGCACATGCCCTTGCCCCCCTACTGTCTGTGTCCATTGGTTATGCTTATATGCATGCATACAAGTCCTTTGGTTGATCTCTAATCCTCCTCCCCCCTATGATGTTGCAAATGGTAGGAGTTCTTTCGTTTTTACAGCAGTGTAGTATTCCATTGTGTAGATGTACCACAGTTTTTTAATCCACTCATCTGCTGATGGGCACTTAAGCTGTTTCCAAATCTTAGCTATTGTAAATAGTGCTGCTATGAGCATAGGGGTGCATATATCCTTTCTGATTGGTGTTTCTAGTTTCTTGGGAGATATTCCTAGAAGTGGGATTACTGGGTCAAATGGGAGTTCCATTTTTAATTTTTTGAGGACACTCCATACTGTTTTCTCATCATTGATGTGTGTTTTTTTATCATTGATGTTTTTATCTCTCCCTTCCTCTCTCAAATAAATAAAAAATATATTTAAAAATAAGCAAACAAACAAAATGCCACACATTCTGCATCTCCAGCCCTCCTATCAATTTCAGTGTGGTTTCTTCTTTAATTCTCTAGTTGTAGGATTTCCAGTCTGCCAGATATCAGGTGGTTCTGAATGATGGTTGTTCTGTATTTTAGTTGTAATTTTGATGTGATTATGGGAAGAGGTGGGTCCTGGAGTTTACCTATGCCACCATCTTGACCCTCTCCTCATTTTTTTTAATACCAATAAGCTTTTAAGGAATAACCTCTCCTCTCTTTCCATTCCCTGATCCATTCCCAGAAGCAACTACTTTGTTTTTTTTTATTTTTATTTTTTTTATTAATTAAATCTTTATTGTTCAGATTATTACATTTGTTCCTCTTTTTTCCCCCCATAACTCCCCTCCCCCCTCCACCCAGTTCCCACCCCACCCTCTGCCCTCACTCCCCACCCACTGTCTTCATCCATAGGTGCACGATTTTTGTCCAGTTTCTTCCCGCATCTCCCATTCCCCTTTCCCCCCCAAGAATAGTCAGTCCATTCCCTTTCTATGTCCCTGATTCATTATAATCACCAGTTCATTCTGTACATCAGGTTATTTATTCACTTGATTCTTAGATTCACTTGTTGATAGATGCATGTTTGTTGTTCATAATTTGTATCTTTACCTTTTTCTTCTTCCTCTTCTTAAAGAATACCTTTCAGCATTTCATATAATGCTGGTTTGGTGGTGATGAACTCCTTTAGCTTTTCCTTATCTGTGAAGCTCTTTATCTGACCTTCAATTCTGAATGATAGCTTTGCTGGATAAAGTATTCTTGGTTGTAGGTTCTTGGTATTCATCACTTTGAATATTTCTTGCCATTCCCTTCTGGCCTGCCAAGTTTCTGTTGAGAAATCAGCTGACAGTCGTATGGGTATTCCCTTGTAGGTAACTGAGTTTCTTTCTCTTGCTGCTTTTAAGATTCTCTCTTTGTCTTTTGCTCTTGGCATTTTAATTATGATGTGTCTTGGTGTGGTCCTCTTTGGATTCCTTTTGTTTGGGGTTCTCTGCACTTCTTGGACCTGTAAGTCCATTTCTTTCACCAGGTGGGGGAAGTTTTCTGTCATTATTTCTTCAAATAGGTTTTCAATATCTTGCTCTCTCTCTTCTTCTGGCACCCCTATAATTCGGATGTTGGTGCATTTGAAACTGTCCCAGAGGCTCCTTACACTATCTTCGTATTTTCAGATTCTTTTTTCATTTTGCTTTTCCGGTTGGGTGTTTTTTGCTTCTTCGTATTTCAAATCGTTGACTTGATTCTTGCAATCCTCTAGTCTGCTGTTGGGAGTCTGTATAATATTCTTTATTTCAGTCAGTGTATGCTTAATTTCTAGTTGGTCCTTTATCACAACCTCGAGGGTCTCATTAGATTTCTTGTAGATCTCATTAAGTTTATCGGCAGTTTCTAGAAAATTCTTGAAAAACCTTAAAAGTGTGGTTTTGAACTCTATATCCAGTAGTTTGTTTTCCTCCATTTCTGTCATTTGTGTCCTTTTTC